TTTTTTTTTACTTGATTGTCATTCATTCATTCATTTATTCACAGTTGGTTTATCATCACACCTTGCAGCCCAGGCAAATGGCATCCTGTACTGTCCCAGTCTGCTGCAAGCCGTCCTCGCGTTCTTTAACACCTTCTGAGCCACCTAAATGAGAGTGCATGTGTTAAATCTTATAATCTATGGATGGAAGGAGGAAAACATTTCATCTCAGCTTCAGAGCTCACTTTGGTGGAGTCTGAACTCTTCACATAGGGTTCGGTGCAGTGGGTGATCCCCCCTTGGAGAACCTTCTCAATTCTTGCAACCAGGAAGATGTCTGGGTGAGGGCAGGTGACTGAGAAGACCCCTTGTGTTGGATAGTGAGGAGTCAGCCCGAGGCCTTCTGGAGGACCATCGCTGATGATATCCGAACTGGACCTGCTGCCGTGACCTAATGTCATCTGACGGACTAAAGGGTGGTTGAGATCTACGTGGAAGTCGGCCGAGATCTTTCTACTGTTCTGGACATCGAAGAGGGATAGGACCACATAGAACGGTTCAACCTTTGAAAATATTTTAAAAAAAAAACATAGAGGAGGAAATTAAAAAGCAGCTGGATTATCAGAGACAGCAGTGTAAAATGTGTCAATATAAATATATACATTCTCCTAAATCCCTCCCTCTAGTTTATTCTTTCCATTATGCATTCCCGTTACACAAGTTCATTTATGTAGGAGGCTGCAGCCTTTTGCTAATAGCTGTGCGTTCCCAGCTAAGCATCTTGAGTAAAAAGGAGTTTTCCTTTCACTGATTCAGAAAGCTGGAAAGTGACGTCAGGAAAGCACATTTAGCGCTAATGCTTCATGTGAAGCCCTGGCTGGGAGTCAAGATACCAAGCCAGCAATATCAGCTTTTCCATTAACCATCCAAATGGGCCATCCCAAATGATTTAAAGCTCACTTGCATTTGCACAAGGGATTATCCTAAGCATGTCTTTCGACTCTCGTTTCTGATCGGAAAGCACATGCTTCTAAAAACAAAGTAAAGCCTACGTTGGTCGTGGGCCCATCTTCGTTTTCTGTCACACAGCCCTGCAGATTGAATGACAGGTTGTGACAGCTGACCAGGACTCTCTTTCCGAACTTCTCCTCAAACGGACGCACGTCTGGTTCGATGCTAGAAAAGTCCAGTTTCTGCAACAACCCAGAAGACACCGTTGAAAGGCTTAAATGTCGTCATAATAGGCCTTTATGATTATGGAATTTCAACACAGCATTTTCTTACCTGGGTGTCTGGATCCAGAGTAAACAGCTTAAGGCGAGCTTCACTTCTCATTTTGGATTCGATATCTCTGGCAGTCTGAAAGAAATCAAAACAAAACTAAAGAGGTATTTGGGCGAGAGGCAGGGTGAACCCCAAGCAGGTCACCACTCCATCATAGGGTCACACAAACAGGATAAACAACCATGCATAAACACATTTCCTCCCAAGAGAAACAGAGAGTGACCAGTTGACCTAAAAGACATGTTTTTGGGCCGTGGGAGAAAGCCAAAGTGCCCAAAGTACAGGGAGGACATCTAAACCAGAACTATTTAGGTGCAAGGCAACAGAACCCAAACTATCTCCCTTGGTCTCAGTCCTAAGTCTTACCACAGTCTTACCACAGGATTGTATTTATCTCCATCACTGTTCCATTAGCTCTGACCTGCTTCCCTTTCACTTCCCAAGTAAAGTAACACAGTTCTGATTTATTCCCACTAGATCAGAGCACCTTTTTCCAAAACATTGCAAAAGGGGCATATGTGTTTTTTTCTTGCCTGTGTTCAATAAAAGCCTCATCTATAAAATATAGGACAAATGATTCTCCTCTTGATTGATTCTCCAATCTGTGCTGCATCCCTGGATGTCTTAGCTCTAACTTCTCTGATTAATGCTTTTCTTTTTTCCCCCATTAATTTTTTATTGAAAAGGAGGAAAACAGTTTTTCACATAACATGAGTTATACATTTGGTTTAAGTATTTTTTTTTTCTGGTTCCAGAAAGTCAAGCCAAAGCCTCAGTAAGGACATTGGAATTATAGAAAATCTTTTTGGAAGGGGAGTACAAATCTTATCCATTTATCCCACGTATTATAAAATGTTTTGATTAATGCTTTTCTTAAGGCTTCTATATTGCATTTAAGGGGTTTAAATAATCACACCCATCATTACGATTCGATTCAGTATCATCTTCCTGACCCAACGATTCGATTATTTTCATTACTCAAGAATACACCATGATACGATTCCATTTGATTAATTGGTTATTATTTTTTTTTTTTACCTTACAGGCTAGAAAATGTTTCAAATTTGTAATAAATCAATGAAAGCTGTAATATCGTTATGCATTTTATTTGAGAAACAACAGCAAATAAAAGAAGTAGACCAGATGGAAAAAATAAAATAATAAATAATAAAAATCTTGCACTCTTGCGGACGTGTCGATGCATCAGATTGTCGGCTGTTTGATCGATGCATCGATACAAAATGATTATTATTTACACCCCTATTGCATTGCACGCACAATAAATGGCCTTTTTCATGAAGATATATAATGTTTTTATTTTGACCAAATGTTTGGTTGGTCTAAGATACCTAAAATGTGCAAAACTTGCTGATACGTGATTACTTTGCAGGGTATGAAACCAGAGGAAGATGCCTAAATGTTACTAATGGCAACAGTAGAATCAATAAATAATCTACTGGGTACTGCACTGGTGTTTGTTGCTTTCACAAAAGTAATGCAGCTTTCCAGAATAGGTTTTAACAAAAAGTGTTTTTTTTTTTCCAGACTGCCACGTTCAACTGCTGCAGACCAACTGAGTGCAAGTATTCCACTCGGAGAACAAAACCCACTTATCCAGATGTGCACAGAGTTACCACCAAGCGGAAAATGTGGTTGCAGGAATCACAGACATTTGACTAATTGGCTTAAAGTTCCATTTCCAAAAAAAAAAAATCGGGATGTCTTCTGCTCTTCAGACCCTTCAGGCATCACATACAGTAATCAATTTGATTTGTTGGGTGGCATGAAGACAGATGCGTGTTAGATAGATAAGCAGGTTACCTGAAAGTTGTCTGGCAAGCTTCCTGAGGATATTTCTGGTTTTCCATGGTCTTCGTCTGTTGGAAAGATTAACATGAGAGTCGTCAGATCAGCTGTGGTAGTTACAGGAAAAACAAAGTAAAGTCTT